GACACCGTCATTATTGCGGACAGTGCTGAGGGTTTTTAAAGACTTTTGAATGCCATAAGCAGAGAGGAAAATAGCTTGGGGCTGAATATAAACACAAATAAAACAAAAGTAATGGCCGTTACACGTGGACCAAATGCTGACATTAATATTCGTATCTACAACAAACGTAAGTTGAAATATGTGCTCGTATCGAGTTGCTAGGTCCGCTTTTCAAAGAATAAAAAAATTCCTAATAAACTCTACCTTATCGGTGGATATCCGATACCAACTTGTAAAAACATTCATTTATACCATATTGCTATAGGGAGTAAAACATGGACTCTCGGAAGCCTTTGAGATATGGGTTTTTCGAATGATGCTGAAGATCTCTTGGACAGAGCACGTGACCAACAACGAGGTGCTGAGAAGAATGGGGACTGAGAGAGAACTCCTAAATATTGTAAAAACCAGAAAAACTAGATATCTAGGACATATTTACAGAAGAGGAAAATACAACTTCCTACGACTGATAATGGAAGGAAGAAGAGGTCCAGGAAGAAGTAAATGCTCGTGGCTGAAAAATGTAAGAGACTGGACAGGCATGGACACACATTCGTTACAAAGAAAAGCTCAAGATAGCGAGCAATTTGCTGTAGTTATAGCCAACCTTCAGTCATATTATTCAGTATTTGAAGCTATCAACGGATTTTCGACATAAACGAAAGATATTTTCTGCAATATTGATGTCCTGTATAATCCAATAATATGATATTATTGATCAATAGATATCATTATAAAAGATGATCAAATCACAGTTTAGCAGTACTTTTATTCAATATTTATATACCTTTTTTTATTTTTATACTCAAGATAAAAATTATTTAAAAATATATTCTTATTTACATTCACTTTTGTTTGCGTTAAGCGACGTTCAGCAGATAAAACCTGTTGACTTTAAAACGCCCAGACATTGAAGTTATCATCACATAGGTGATACGAACCTATGAAAATATTGTTTGTTGTCTTTTTTTCGCAACCATTTCCATTAACCTTGATTTTATTGTGTCGGTTCCGTTCAAATTTTAACTAGGTACTGATTTTTTTAACAATAACCAATTATTGACACAGTTTCTATTGGGAGATTAAACACGCAGCCGCAGCACGCAGTGGACTCTGCTTCAAACGTCGGCAATGTTGCCAGATTTCAAAATTTGTCTTCCACGTACTAAAGTCTTACTTAGTTTGTCACTAAAAACATAAACATGTATATTATGTAGATAAAAAAGATACCTACTTACTAAGAAAAAATCAACTAAATACACATTTAGATTTAATATTGATTGCTTTATCAGTTTTAATAGAATATCATTATTTTCAAAGAGAAGATAAAAGAGAAAAGAATACTTCGGAACAGATAAAACCCAGGCATGGAAAAAATAGTTGAATAATATTATGTATGGAAAGATTAATAGCGAAGCTATGGCAATCTTTGTATATTCTCGTTTCCTGGCAGGTTAAATGAATTACAGTCATCAAATTCTTTATTATTATTGACATATTGTCTTTATACAGTAACAATTTTTAAATAATCGAATAAATAACGAATTTTAATTTCGTTTGAATAAATGACATTGTTTGAATTTTAATTTTGTACATTTGTTTGATAATCGTGTTAGTATTACTTTTTGTAGTGTATTGTTTATATATTACACGAGAATAACTAATTAATGTCTTTTTTTTTCTTTTCAGTCCCAGATAATAGGAAGAAATTTTCCGGAAAATGTTCTAGTCTCAACCAACGTCTCAAGTAACAAATGTGAAAGACGTTACGTTACTTAGGGGCTCTGAATAAAGTAAGAATCGATGCCAAATGTTACTTGTTATCGAGCACATGTCATAAAAATATTAGAATGCAAGTCATATGAATGTAGACAAACAGACAATATCTCGGTCAATAGAGAAATAAGCTTTCTTCTAACGGTGTTTGTCCATCTAGTCCTGTTGTAAACGTACTAAACCACTTTCTCAGGCTTCTCAGGCTGGTCTCCTTTTTTCCATATAACAAGTCATATCTCTGCCCATTTGTCATAATATGGTCCAGATTTTCTAATTTGTGCTTTTTGATTGTATAAATGATCTCATTTTACGTAAAATTTGATAAGTCTGTAAGACCACATCCCGAAAGCTTAGAGCTTTTTTTAAAAAGTCTCAGAAAGCCTCCAAGCCTCTACTCTATGCAATAAAATATCTCCATAAAATCTGAAGATAAGGAGAAACTTTGGTTCTATATGGTAAGCCATGACTCCTTCTCTTCTTAGAGTGCCGTCTCTCTACGGAGGTTGGCAATCATAATGGCTATTTTTATTTTAGAACTTGCTGCTCTAAACAAATCAATCGATCTGAATTGGTACCAATCACGTAGATTCTTTAACCATGAGTTCTGCCTTCGGCCAACAGATCTTCTTCCTTGAATCTTTCCCTGTATTATCAGTCTCAAAATCTCATATTTTGGTCCCCTCATCACGTGGCCTAGGTATTCCAGTTTTCTGGTTTGTATAGTGGTGATTAGTTCTGTTTCTTTACCAACCCTCTCCAGTACTTCTTTATTTGTAATTCTATCAGTCCATGATATTTTCAATACTCTGCGGTATAACCAGAGTTCGAAGGCCTCGATTCTTTTTAAATTACATTTTTTTAATGTCCAAGTCTCAGCTCCGTATAATAATATTGAAAATATATAACAGCGAATGGTACGTAGTCTGATCTCCAAATTTAGATTTTTGCACGTTAGGAGTGGCTTCATTCGTATAAATGCTGATCTGGCAATCTCTATTCGTCTGTTTATTTCTACAGTATGATCATTGGTTTCATTGATCAAAGTTCCCAAATACTGATATTTTTCTACTTGTTCTATCACGTTACCATTTATTGTCAATAGGTGATGTATATTTTGTGGCCTTTTTGTAATCAGCATGTACTTCGTTTTTTTGGCGTTTATAGTAATTCCCATCTCAGCACTATTTATACTCAAGCTTTCGATAAGATGTTGTAGATCCTCTATACTCGTTGCTATGATCACAGTGTCGTCTGCATATCTTAAATTATTAATTAATTTTCCGTTAACGGTGACTCCCGCTTCGATATTATTGAACGTGTTTTGGAAAATTTCTTCAGAATATAAGTTAAACAAAAGTGGTGATAACACACATCCCTGTCTAACTCCTCTACAGATCCTCATTTCTTCTGAATGTTGCCCATCAATTTGAACTATGGCACTTTGGTTCCAATATAATGTTTGCACTATATTTATAATTTTACTGTCAATGCGCTTGTTCATAAGTATTGATATTAGTTTTTCATGTCTTACTTTATCGAAAGCTTTTTCGTAGTCAACGAAGCACAAGTGTAGATCAACATTCACATCCCGACATCGCTGAATTAATATGTTGATGGCAAATAGTCCTTCTCGAGTACCCATTCCATTTCGGAACCCGAACTGCGTCTCGCTAATATCCTCCTCTAGCCTTCCGTATATTCTCTTATGTATTATTTTTAGCAGAACTTTAAAAGTATGACTCATGAGGCTCAGTGTTCGATAATTAGAGCACTCTTTTGCTGCTTGTTTTTTAGGGATGGTTATAAATGCTGACTTTAGCCACACCTGTGGTATTATTCCCGTATCGTACACCGTGTTGAATAAATCTGCCAATACTTCCAAGTTGTCCTCTTCCACTAGTTTTTCATGACTCCTGAAGATAGATAAATCTCATTTTTATGAATGCTGATCTTGTCTTCCCTATACGTTGTTTTATTTCGATGGAGTGGCCCTATTAGTTGGGAATGTTGGTACCAAAGTATGTGTGGCTATTAACACTGCCAATTTGCTGTTGTTTAACCAAAAGCTGTGTACTATAATTTCACGCTTACTGATTATCATGTATTTTGTTTTTTTATTAATATCCAGTCCATTCTCGTTACTCATATCTGATATCTGTGACATTATTATTTACAAATCCGAAAATCTGAGTGTAAAAACTACTACTGCGTCGTCAGCATATCTAATGCTATCTAGATGCACATTGGTTAATCTGCCTTCCTCTTGTTGTTCCAATGCTTGTGAGAATATATGTTCAGAGTATATATTAAATAGCAACGGGGATATCATGTACCCTTGTTTGACACTTCTATATTTCAACATTGCCTCTGTCTATCTATCTATCTATCTCTCTTTACAGCCGTTGCTGTCCAATTTTGGACATAGGCCTCCTGTTCCTTCTTCTACGTCTCTCTATTGTAGGTAGTTTGTATCCACTTCGGGCCTGCGTGTTTCTTCAACTCATCTGACCATCTCATTTGTGACCTTTTTTTTCGTTTGTAACTATATGGTCTCCAGTGTATAATCATCTTATTCCATCTGTCGTTTTTCTGCCCTATGGTATGTCCAGCGAACTTCCACTTAGGTTTTGCTGTTTGCGTTGATACATCGGTCACTTTTGTTTTGTTGCGGATCCAAGTATTTCTTTTCTTGTCTGATAGCCTGATGTTTAGTATTTGCCTTTGTTTAGGATAAAAATTTATGACTTTTAAATTTTCAAAATTGTTGCGAATCGAATCTTTTACAACTCTCGTTATGTAATATACTATAATAATCATGTTACAAAAAAAAACAGCACTAGATAGTCACCAGCGGTTTGCTATACCCAAAAATGCATGATGTATTTCTTTTCCCGTTTTTTAAGTATTTAACATCAAGGATATTAAGGATTTAAATTAAAATATTTTTGAAAACAACTTCCGAGGTGTCAAGTCAAATAATGCATTTATTTTAAAATTTATGGTATGGCGAAAGAAAGTTTTAAAACAAACTGTATACTTTCCATCACTTTCTTTGTTCTTTCAAATTTTGTTCTCCTATCTAGGATTTATCTTCGGAAATGTTGGCAACACTGGCGACGTTGTCCCATTGCTTTCGACGCGACTATCCTCCGATCAACGCGGCTACATCAAAATAATTCGCGTTGGCCCGCGTTGCAGTCTGTAGTGCATTGCACGTCAACAAATTATTCACGATCAACAAACGCACAGCAACGTCAACCTTTGCCATCGACTCCAACTCCAGGCACTTAGTAGCATTGATGCTCCGCGACAAGTCTGTGGTGTATAACAAGTAGTGACATCGAGAAGAGACTCTTCAACCGCGATTCTTTTCTCTTTACGCTACAGTTTAACGGTTTAATTGGTAATCGTTGGAGTACGAGTGTTAGTGAACAGGAAGAGGTTTTGGTGTTTTTTAGTCATGGTGAGTGCTTTTGTTATTATGTAAAATGTTTGATGTAAACGATTCAAAGAGAACTTTGGGCTATGTCTATTCATTTACTTAGTTAAATAGTGCCTGTATAATTTTGATCTTGATGTTATTTACTAAATAGTTATCGAAAACAGTTGCTATTTAAGTAAAAAAACTACACTGAATAATTTTTGTTAAAAATCAATAATTCCAAAATTTACTGTTAACATTATTGTTATATATGTAAATATTTTGAAAAACACTGCAAATATTTGTCATTTCCTGTTATGGTTTTTGCATACTACAATTTTGGCATTCCAAATGTTTACAGAAATAGCGATCGTTATTTGTTTCAACATATGTTTTCTGTCAAAAAGTTTAAAAATACCTTTGTGGGAATTTCCCACCCTTTTCGAATACCAAAGAACAACAATATTTTGCATATTTAATAGCGATTCCTTTGTTTTTTTTGTGTCAAGTGGTACAATTGTCTGTTTCCAGGCAGTTTTGAACTAGGGCAGGTGCAAATCGTCAATAGAAGATAGCGTGCGTTTTTACGGGACTACTTTCCTAGTTCGCGATTGCTTTTGTTTATATTTATCAGGGCTTTGGCAATATGGTGGAGAGAGTTGAGTCATACAAATGTACACCGTCGATTAGGGTAGGACGGTATTGCTGTTAATAGGGGCTCGAACCGGGTTAAAAATAACTTACGGATAATTGAAAATGTGTTGATAAAGGGTTGGATATTTTTGCGCCAGCTGAACGCTGCTCCTTCTGTCTGTCTGTTGGGAGACAAAATATACAGCTAAATGCACGAAATATGAATATAGAATTTAATTAAATAACAAAGTAATATTGTTCTACCCTTCTCTTTATGGTCGTTTTTTTTTATATATTCTTAGGCATAACCAACAAATTTCAAAATTCTTTATTTGACGTTTCTACTTTTATATCGGAAAACGTTTTCAAAGCATATTTTTAAAATCAAACAAACTTGCTTTCTACCTTAAGCAATAATAATTAATCTAAACCTTTTATATATAAGATCAAATTTTATTAGATATTTTAAACTATAAATTTTTAAAATAATGTTGTAGTTTAAGACATTTCTCTGGGATACTTTATTAAGAAATCTACCTTCTTCTTCTTCTTAAGAAGGCATTTGACCGGTACAAATTAAAGAACGTTATCCACTTAGCTCTAAGAGATAGTTCTAGGAATAATCAAAACGATCGAAAATATCTACCAAATCAACACAATAAATTAAAAGTAGAAGAACAACTAACCGACCCTATTGAAGCTGGCAATGGGATAAAACAGGGATATTCCTCGAGTCCTCTATTGTTCAACCTGATTAGTGAAGACAATTTTCAACGTATGCTGCACCAGTTTAATATAAACTTCAGAAAATTTAACATGTTAATTTCCCCAAAAAGCAAAATGCATGGTTAGGTATAACAGCAAATTTACTGAGATAGATAGGTCATATAATAGAACAAGTGATGGAGTTTAAATATCTAGGCATCACATTATCTAGCTACGGAAAGCTCGAAACTGAAGTGGAAGATTAAGTGAATAGAGTAAACAGAGTCGCAGGTCGTCTGAATGAAGATTATGGAGAAATAAAAATATTGGAAAAGAAAGGAGAGGTAGAATTTACAAAACAGTCATCAGACCAATAATGCCATACGCGGCAGAAACACAACCTGATACAGATAGGACAGAAAGGTTGTTGGAAACAGCAGAAATGAAAACACTAAGAGAAATTGATGGTATGGTACTATGGAACAGCCCTAGAACTACAGATGTACCACGTTGATGCAAGGTGAAGAACATCAAGAACTGGGTAAGAAATAGAAGAGTAGAATGGAACGATCATATACGCCGAATGACAAAAAATTGAGTAGTAAGGCGCCAGAAAATAATTCCCCGATAGAAAGACGATCAGTAGGAAGACCACGAAAACCATGGAACAACAACTTACTGGAGGCACATTGAAAAACAGACAGAGTCATGTCTACATAAAAAGAATGAAAGGAAAAAGAAATCTCCCTGTATTTGATAATGTATTAAACGAATTAACTGGGCAATCAGTCTAACACATATCCCGCAAATAAGATATATTGCAAAAATAAGTTTTTATCGGTATGATATAAGAGTTATTTAATTTCATAAAAACTGTCGATAAAGAAAAAACTGTCCAGAATAAATATTTTGTCAATATCGTTGATTTTAAAATGTGGAACTTATAATTAAACCTTCCCTTCTTACAAAGAGCAAGAATGTTTTGTAACCACAATACATCCAGATCCCACAAGATGAGGAAATTGGGATTTCATAGCTGCGTTAAAACAAGAAAATTGGAATATCTCGGATATATTACACGTGGAGAGAAATACACCTTGCTCCAACTGATTATGCAGGGAGAGATCCAAGGAAAGACAAGCATAGGGAGGCGTAGAATGTCATGGCTGTACGACCTGAGAGAGTGCAAGAGAGCAACTTTTCAGAGCAGCCGTCTTAAAAGTCCAAATAGCTATGATGATTGCCGACCTTTGCGGTGGAGATGGCACTTGAAGAACAAGCTGCGTTGGGGCCATTGAGTGTAGGTATGTGCGAATAAAATCGACGGTTGGAAATAATGTTGAAATTTTACGGAACAGAAATCAGTTTTTTCTATCAAAAGTGTAATCCATCGGAAATGCAAATTTAAAAATCTTCATACGATGTGTATATCCTTCAAAATTCTATAGTACAGTAGACTGCTGGATATTAGCACATTGTCATCATTGGTATTACCTATAGGAGATAAACCAAAACATGTGAGCCAAATTTACGTCGGTTATAAGAACTAGAAAATGGCTAATATTACCATGGTCGTTTTAATACTTCTCTTTTATTACATTTTGAAAACTGGGTATATATTTATGAACGTGAGTTTTCAATATTAAGAAATCCACATGTTGTCCAATAACATCTACAATAAATATATATATATATATATTTAAACGCTAGTAAGTAGAAATAAAAGTATTTTCACTGCATATAAGGAAATATGAGATATGATCTAAAAAACTGAATGGAAATCTACCTCAGGGCTCCATCATCTTCGTTCTCCATCATCGTTCTTCATTTCTGCCCATAATTGTCTAATATTCGCTTTTCTATGCCATTCTGTACCGGCTTGTTTCCTTATGTCATAGCCCCATCTTAAATTTGGACGTCTTCTTGGTCTCTTAACGCCTCTTGCGTCGCTCCATTGACCTTTGAGTGACTTTGAGTTTTGCTATTATATATTTCTTTACTGTCACAAGCTTTGCAGCCAAGATTAAATATGAAATCGTAGGCTTCCACGGCCAGAGTCAGAATTATAGTTTATTCGTCTTCCGGGTTTGGACCGTGTCATTTGTGAGTGACCCAAAAGTTGGTTCATCTCGACGTTTCGCTACAATCGTATGTAGCTTCTTCAGGAGAACCAAGAAAAAGAAATCAAAAGACAGGAAGATGGGTAGTTAGCAACGGTAACTCAGTTACTCAACGTAACCAGAGGCGAATACTAACTACCAAGATGGGCATTTGGTCACAGTAACTCAACTACTTAACGCAGCCAGAGGTGAAAACCAAATGCCAAGGCAGGGATTCACGTCCAACAGCTCAGAACACTAACGCGTCGAGAGGCGGGGAGTGAATCCGGATTCACCGTTAGCTACCTGAGTTACCGTTGCTAACTACCCATCTTCCTGTCTTTTGATTTCTTTTTCTTTGTTCTCCTGAAGAAGCTACATACAATTGTAGCGAAACGTCGAGATGAACCCACTTTTGGGTCACTCACAAATGGCACGGTCCAAACCCGGAAGACGAATAAACTATAAGATTAAATATTGTGTAATAAAAATTTAATTACTTTTACAGTATGTAAAGATAATTGATTCAATTAATTGATGGATTCAATTGAATTCAATTATTTGTATCATTAAACTTTCTTACCGTAAAAGTTCTTGTCGGATTTGTCTTTAAAATTGTAGATTCAATGTGTCCCCAGCAATGTTTACTAGGGTATGCACTCCATGCGAGGATAGTTGATGAAGCCATTGCTGTTTCGTTATCCAGCTTATTACTACAATCATTGTAGTGATAAATATGTATACTTTTAATAAGAATAATACCTTCGTTTGCAAATGCAAAGCAGTTGGTAAGAAGAATAAAAGATGAACACTGGGAACATTTTACAAAAAGGATGGAAAGTCACTTCTACGGTACACAACAAATATGGAGATTCTTAAGAAACCAATCAAAAGAATGGCAGAATTGAAGGAATGCAATATCATACCAGCAAACGAATGGGAAAGATAACTGACGGAAATGTTTAAAGGACAGAAAAATAATAATCAACACAATAACGTACCTGAATTAAGACACGAAATAGAAATCAGTTTTCAGGAAGTAGCGGTAGCTATAAATTCTCTCAAAAATAGAAAGTCACCAGGACTAGACGAAATAATCAATGAGCTTCTAAAACACCGAGGAGAAAATATAACCCTAGAGATGACAAAACTTATACAAAAACTAATATTGAACTGAAAGATACCAGGCGCATGGAGAAACAGCATAATGATACCAATGTTTCAGAAAGGAGATAAAGAAGACTCCAACAATTATAGAGGTATAAATCTACTAAACACCGCACTTAAGCTTACCACAAAAGTCCTAACCAACAAAATCAATAAAATAACAACTTTATCAGATGAACAACAAGGTAAGATCCGGAAGATCCTGCCTAGACACCGTATTTGTACTAAGACAAATCACAGAAAAGGCCATCGAGTACAATAAACCAGCATATCTATGTTTTATAGACCTGACAAAGGCTTTCGATGGCATCCATGTCGAAGACGTCTTACACCTACTGTATAAAACAAACATACCAATCAATATTATTGTTAGGCCTTTATTAATTCTAATTTGTTGTTCTTAATTTAATTTACTAAAGGTTCAATATTTATAACACT